GCGAGCACAGCAGGGATGTTAGGTGCAACCGGTGCCGGCTGCACAGGTGCAGGCTGCTGATGCAACGGTGCAGGCTGCACGGTCTGTCCCGGCTTAGCGTATCTACTCCACCATGACTGATATATGGCAACCTTTTCAGGAGGCAGCTGTGGTAGTGCATCAGACACTGAGGCTGCAGGTCGTCCAGGCGGTGTATACACATGGCTGGCCATAGGTCTTGCAATGGTGCCTGCGTATAGCGGTGGATGCATGACGGCGGATGCCGTGTGCACGGGTGCAGGGGTGTGCCCGGTCGCCGGTGCTGTCACGGGTGCAGCAGGAAGGGTCTGAGCAGCTGTTGCTGTCGGGGCTGCATGCACTGTCTGCGGTGCTGTCGGGGTGCCGTCTTCCTGCACGCCCGTGCTTAGGGAATTTTGCCCTAAGGACTCTTTTAATTTTGCGCTTTGGCAAGAGTAACGCTCTTTTTTGTCCTTTGGGGACTGGGGCCTTGCAGAAGATGACCCAGCAAGATAAAATAATCAAACCTGCCTGGCTCCGCTACCATCTCTGCCGCTTCTGTCACCGATACATCGACTTTCTACAAGAAGTCAATGCTGATCCAGGCGTAAATTTGAGCATCCTCGCGGAATGGTTCGGGAGCATTTACTTGAGCCGGTATACAAGTTTCACGTTGAAAGAAAAAACAAAGAAACATACATGTTTCGCGATTAAAAAATCTGTGTATATGTTTGAAAATGGAACAGGTTGGCGACTGCGAGCTACTATATTATATATACGGGTGGCTGTTTGGCACACTGGGGGTTTTGAGGTCTTGCATGGTGTCGTCGCGAGCCCCATGCGTTAATCAGGGTGTTGATCGAGTCTCTTCGCTTTATTAGGATTCTGAGGGTTTAGGGTTTAGGGTTTAGGGTTTAGGGGGTTTAGGGTTTAGGGTTTAGGGTTTAGGGTTTAGGCTCGATTCTCACACTCGCACAATAATGCCGGCAAGGCTCCACGTGCAGATACCTCAGCTACAGGGTTTACGGTTTAGGGTTTAGGGAAAAGGGTTTAGGGATTAGGGTTTCGAACCCTTTTTCTTTTTTTCTCACTCATGCGAGCGCGGCATTGTAGTGCAATTGCCAGCGCTGCAAAACACGACGGGAGACTGTCGCCGAGTGCACAGATCCCTTCACGATCTTGGTGATCTGGCCGACATAGTCTTCTTCCGTCCAGCATGAGCCCCAGCGAGGGTTTAACCTCGAACTGAGCATGCGCAGCACGAGCTCGCAGTGAAACTGATGGAATTTGGGCCGCAGCTTATACCGAGGGCGCCCTTCGTGCAGCGCTTGCTGAGCAAGGGCCGTATATGTCTCCACATAAACACGGCCTGCCCTTGGTTTTAAGGTTTTAGGGTTTAGGGTTTAGGGTTTAGGGTTTAGGGTTTGGGGTTTGGGGGCTTAGGGGCCCTACTTTGGAGTTTCGACTCCCAGTCTCGCACGCAGCAGGCGAGGCTCCACATATGTCCGTAGGATTTGCTCTCAGTCTCGCACACAGCAGGCGAGGCTCCACAAAGGTTCGTAGAGTTTCTGGTTGAGGGTTTCGGGTTTATAGGGTTTAGGGGTTTAGGGTTTCGACGTTCCGCCTGCAGCTGCGAGGCTCCGTAGGGTTTGCTGTGTCTCGCACGCAGCAGGAGAGGCTACACGTGCATAGGGTTTCGGGCTTAGGGTTTGGGGTTTAGGGTTTGAAACCGGAATCCCTGAAAAAGGAAACCCCAAAATGTTTTGGCCCAGAATCTCGACGAGGGAGTTCGCCTCCTCGTCGCTCAGCCACATCGAAGCGCGATCCAAAATTCCATTGTAACGAGTTACAGCCCACGCGCAGACAGCCTGCGCCCGCAAGTCGGGCAGATCCAGGTCCTTGAAAATTCTTCTAGGGCTTCGCAGCGCTTGCACTGTTATTATAAAGGCTGGTTTTGCGTCTGGGGGCTTTAGGTTTTGCAGGGCTTATAATGGGGTGATTGGCTACAATTAAGGGTACCAAAAATTCAGGGCCAGAACCCATGCACAAGAACTTGAAATCACACGGCTCGAAGAAAATAGGAGGCGACATACTATAGACCGCTCGCGAGGAACGCGAAGGCGCTCTGCCAAGTACGACATCCTTAGGCCAGGGTTGAGATAGTATGATTAGGTTCTATATATAAACTTAAACCTCTCCTCAAGATTCGGGTCTGGAGACACTGACCATAATGTAGTCGTGGAAAAGCCGAGATGCATCACACGGTTTGCATAGGCTTTTCCAAATCCCACTGGAAAATCCAAACTGACAGCCTCGACGGACAACTTCAAGAGACCTCGGCTTCAAGCAAAACACGGGAACCTTAGACTGCAAAGCAACTCTACAGTGACAAAGCAGACCAGGATGCTGATTGTTTCGATCGTGGAGGGTCGTATCCCATTTTGCACGCACCAGTGGCGCACATCTGCAGTCAAAGTTTCCAGGCGTTCATCCCAGGTCGGCAAATGCTGTAGCGCCGGCCACTTTGCCACGAGATCCAATATAATGGACGCCACGCAATCTCGGGCTGTTCCCAGCCATAGGGCATGTAAAATGTCCGCGCATTCGCTCAAAGGGCTGAAGCCGCGGACACTGCGAAGCCTGCAGCCAACATCCGAAAGCGATCTCGCTAGGACCCGAGGGTGTGACAGTATCAGCATTAAATTGACAAAACCTTAAAGGAAAGTTACCAAACTTTGCAGCTGTGGGGCCAAATGTCCCCCACACCTGCGAATCGATCTTGACTATAGACTAGAATTTTCACACGGCTCTACAATGGAAGCTACGGCAACTTAGTGAAGACGCATGTCCAAGATGCGTGTCTGGGCCGCTGCCGCGAGATCTGCATCATTGTTGAAGCGTTCTCTGCAAGGATCGAGCCAGGGTTTGTCAGAGTTCGGCCTGGCAGAGGCCAGGCATCTTGGGCATATCAAATCGGAACTGTTGTAATGTCGATCCATAGCAAGCCACTCCCGACGGAATTTCCAGTCGCCCTTATGCACCACCAGATGCATAGACCAGCCGTCCGTAGCCTCATCGCCCGGCAAGTTGCATCTGTTGAGGCTCATTGCAAGGCATTCTTGCAGCTTCTCCAATGTCACGTTTCGCCCGTCTTTGTAGGCGAAGAAATCGGATTTCATGACCTACGCAAATGAAACATAGCGAGGATGGGTCTTCGAGCCTTAAGCAACCATCCACTGCAAAATCAGCCGAGTTGCGCAGAAGGGATACTTCGACATCATGGCCGCAGTGTGCACTGCTAGAGGTGCCCAGCTGAGAACCATTACGCTCTTGGAGCGTTTGCCGGTCCCCTCATCCCCATGTAAGGAGATCGCGATCGCCTTCCGTCTGCTTTCTTCAGGCCAGGACTGCACTGGATGGGACCTAGGGATGACAGTGGGATGCTTCACAATTAAGCTATCTTCCTGAAACTTGCAAGAGCACGGAATAGCGAATACATCTCAGTTGTTGCCGACAAGGTGCGCTCCCCAATCCTCAGATCGGGCTTGGTGCCAGAATTGGCACCAATCAACATCTCCACTCCTCAGCTCGCCGAAAAAGCTATAAAGAATTCAAGTAGGAGCTTGTGCACGGCGAGCGTCAAGCGGTCCACCATGCCGGCACGCACAATGTTTTGAAACATCTGGTGTGGGAGATACACTGGCCAGTTCGCGCGCACAGGAGGTGTTTCTTTGGCATTTCTAGATTTTTTTTTTGGCGCAGCAACACGTGTTGTGGCTTTCGCCTTCGCCTGGCGACCACGGAAGCTCCTAGAGCGGCGCGCTTGCCCCAGCAATCTCTGGACTGTCTTCACGTCCTTGACCAGCACAGGCGCCCCGCCGAGGGGACACTGCAAAGCAACCTCGTTTGGCTTTAAGCGATGATGCGGCCTATTTGTGCAAACCCGTTTTGAGCAACAACCGGCAAAGTTTCACAACAACACGAGAAAACAGCTGAGCTACGTCCCGGCTTCTGTCCATTGCCCTGTGCAGCCGCTCTTCGATGTGCTGGGGCCTGGAACCAGACGCGCCCAATGTTGCAGCCCACGCTGTGCCTCAGTCGCAATTGATTGGGAACGTGCATTTTGCCTTAGGGGCTGGATTTAATGCAGCAACCAACAGCATATAGAGAGGGGTGTGGCACATCGACAGACGAAGCACTGGATGATACATTGGCTCCTCCGGCTTCTGCCACAGCCGCATGAGAAACTGTTTGCACAATGGATGCCGGCTGCCCTTGTCCCACTCGCTTGGCCAACTCACGAATCAGAGGTGACCTCTTCAAAGAAAGATTGGAACTCGAAGGTCGAGAGGTTGGTGTCTCATTTGACGCATTGGCGTCATCCAAGCGTTTTTTAAACCGCTTGATGCGCTGAAACATGTGCCACGCAGAGCAACACGGAAAAAACTCCGCATGGGTCGATTCTTGCAGTCCTGAAGCCTGTATATCAAGAGTCTAGAAACAGATTAGGCTCTAAGGCTGGGGTTATCGCATACCAAGACGACGAGGGGATATACAGAAGTCTCACAGGTTTGAGGCCCTTAAGGTTTACGGTTTCGGGGTCATGGTATCATACGATTGCATGCGGGGTTGCAAGTTGCGGCTGGGTTTTGTATCACACCTGTGCGACAAAAGCTCTGCAAGCGAGGAAGATCGTGTGCAAAGGAAAGCAATGTGACTGCATGGTACTCGTGCAACCTACTTGATGATGCTGCATCGATCAGCTAGCACGTGGTTTTCTCGGCAGCCTGTCCATGTTGGCAGGATTCCCCTTGAAATTGCCAGTGCATGCACTGGCAGAGTGGCGAAAATCAACATCCGGATACTCCTAGCTGGCACCCACGAACGACTTGAAGAACTAAGTGGATGATGCACAGGAGCTTCCAAGCCCAGGTGCAAAGGTGCACATGCATGCCTTGAGTTCATACCTGGTACTGCTACGGAACCGTAACCCTCGACTCTTATATAGGACCCTTAGCCTCATCCAACCCGTAATCATCAACCGCAAACCTGTATAGAAACCCTAAAACCTAATCTGCGTATATGTGCACCAATAGCACCGGCCCGAGGTTGCAGAGCTCACACGCCCGGCTGCTCAGTTTTTGCCTTGCGCTTGGGCTGCGACTCGCGGCGTATGCCTTGGATCCTTGGCGCAGCGGCTTTAGGGTTTAGGGCTTTTGGGCTTTAGGGCTTAAAGTTTAGGGGTTTTGGGTTTTAAGGCTTTAGGGGTTTAGGGCTTTATGGGTTTAGGGCATTAAGAGCGACTGAACCAGAGAACAATTCAGAAAGAGGGACAGATAAAAGGGAGGGAGAGAGAGAGAGAGAGAGAACAACATGACTGTTCCAAATCTGAATTGGCGGTAGCCTCTTGCAGACAGAAATCAAGCTGTTCGCGGTCCTCTGGTGCGTCTTCCAGGCCTCCACGAAGGGGGTGACCTCACGATTTCATTCGACGAGCTAACATGTGCAAGAGATACATGAGAACTGGGAGCAGTCGAAAGCCAAGCAGCAGTCAAGAGAAGCATTTGCACGTCAGCGGCCGTTGGTGAAGACCCCATTTGCTGCATCTTCTTTCGTCCATCGGTGATGCCCGCAACAGCTGCGTTGATCAAGTCGATCAGATTCTGCTGGCTTTCAAGAGGCTCCAACCTAAGTGTCTCTAGCGCTCACAGGATTCGACCGCAGTTTGGATCCAAGGCAGACACGGCACTCCGCGGTCAGTCGGACCGCCAGCCCCTGCGCGGTGGTGGCTGCATTGATCCAGGACTTGACGAAAAGATTGACGCCACATTGCGAGGACTCCATGATGTGCACCTCCATGTCGCTGCCCTCGGTGAGGAATGGAGGCTTAAGAGAGAAGCTTGGCATCGATCAAGAGAGTCTCTGTGTGTTTAGGCTCTAGGGTTATACTGCTGCCCAGTCGCAGGGGGTTTCGGGGCTCGGGCTTTTTTCTTGGGCTGGGCGATGTCGTCAGTGTCGCCTGTTTCCACTTTAACCAGACTTGCTGCCTTGCCTTTGGCTTTGGGGCCAGGCAGGGCTGCATCGGGATCTGGAGGAGCACTACCAGAGGACCACCCTGCATGCGGCTGCTTCGCGAAAGGGTTGTGGCTGATCATGCCCGCCACGCTGCTCGCGTAAGCAGGGTCCACGCCCATGGATATGGCGATCTCATCCTCGGCAAATTCACGAGGTTTCCTTATATAGTGTACAAGTACCAGAGTTCAACTATGCATGAAGAGGCCGAGTCTCGAGAGTCCTGGTTGTGACACTGCGGGCTTGCTCATCCCACCACAGAAATGTTTCGACACTGGGATCATTGCGATCCGTGGACGTCCTGCGGCCACGCATGTGTACAGTATGTATGTGTATGCACCTGCATGCATGTGTGTCTGGATCTTAGTCCATGTCTGGTCCCTCTGGGTTCGGCCCGCCGCCGCAGCACGAATGCTGTGGCGTTGTCCACGTTGTTCTTGTGCAGCTCCAAGATTTTAGCCCAATCATAGTATTTTCCTGACAAGTATGACATGATTATGTGTGGTGTATGTGTGTTTCCTTGTTAGTGTGTTTGTTCGGGCACACCACAACATGCACATGATTAGGTTAAAGAAATATATGCATTCTAGTGGCCTTGATCCCGGTCTTCCTCCTCCTTCTGCCTGGAGTACTTCATGACGGCTTCCATGGCCATGCCGTCGCCTTAGATGCTACTCGGTACTCACGACAATGTGATTGTAATGGATCCACAGAATTAACGAAAGGCTCTCGAGACTGAACCCTCTTGAAGTTCCCAGCGTGAACCCTTGACCCCCGGGCCAACCTGACTCGATCTGACACATCTCAGGCAAAGAGCAGCCGGCTTTGACGAACTGAGTAAACACAGCCAGCCGTCGATCTCCCCCGTTCCTTACATTGCAAACTGCACACTGCCAGGAATGATGTACTGCACAAGGACTTGTTAGAATGCTGCTTCTGGCGGAACTGAGACAAAGGCTGCCAGGCCGTGCGCAGTTCGCCTGCCCACTCGTTCCTCTCGCAGAAACGTCGATAAGTTGCCCACTCAGTGGGATGTGTCTTGCTGTTGATGACACCCTCCGGCTGCCGCTGAGGCGTTGCCGGCACGGCTTGCGGGGCAGCCTTAGGCGGAGGGCCGCAGCCGGGTGCTTTGGCAGGTGCTGCAGGCACGAGGGCAAGTTCGGTACCTGGCTGCGGTGGGGCAGGGATTGGCAGCGGAGCATTCTCAGTCACAGGGGCAGCAGTACTCTCTGCTACTGCCGGCAGTGGCAGGTTCTGGGCATTGGGCTCAGAAACCATCGGCGCAGGACTTGGGGCCGCTGCAGGGCCGGTTGCAGGTGCGGTTGCTGCCGGCACTGCCAGCTGCAGCTGGGCACTGGGATCAGAGACCCAGTGTTGATTCAAGGCCGGGTGGTCAGGCTGGAGTACCTGCAGTCTCTGAGTCATCAGCTGCAACATGAGAGCCAATTGCTCTGCATTTACTTCGGGTCCCTTCGCAGTGGAACCGTCATCGGACTCCGCATCCTTGTCTCCAAGACCGTTTCCACGGCCTTCTTCCATAAGGGTATCACCGTCAGGCAGTGTCGCTGTGTCCTGCAGGCTCTCTGGCTGGGTGGCAACGGAATCCTGTGGCATTGCCGCGCTGTTGCGCTTGTCTGGGCTCTCGGCAGGATCGTCTGACGGGGCTGCCTCCTGGGAAGAGATGGTAGCCTCCTGGGGAGGGATCGTAGCCTGCTCGGCAGGTTGCTTCTCTGACTGCACCATGACTGCTTGAAGAGGGGAGCCGCAGGAAACGCAAACATTGCCACACATGTCAATCTGCTCCTCGTTGTAGAAGATGCTGCAACGAGCACAGAGCCCTAGACGGCCAGCTGGGGCTGGGCTGGCAACAAGAGATGCGGCTGCATCTTCCGCTGAAGCTGCAGTGGGTACTGGCACAGCAGACCCTGCCGAAACCAAGCCTGGCGTTGTCGTTGCTCCGTCTGGTTTCAGCGGCGGGGCTTTTGCTGCTGCGGGCGTCGACGTGGAAGTCTGCACTGGCATCGCTGGGGCTGCTGCCGGGGCTTGAAAAACCTGTGCTGGAGCCGGAACTGCTGCTGGAACGGTTGGGACTGGTGCCGGGTCAGTGGGC